TATTAACCATATTTTCAATAAAACTAGTGTTTAATTCAAAATTAATAAATTATATTTTATATTTCCATTTAAAAAATCAATTTAATAGTAAATTCAGATATAGTTCTCATTCATTGAACACTTCCTCTGCGTTTAAAATCCTGGTTTCTTTAAATCGGTTGAATTTTTGGATCAACTGTTCTAACGAACACTCGCCGTGTATTTTATTATCTCTGGTTCTGACGTTCACACTATTGTTGGCCAACTCTTTGTCGCCGACAACCAGAATGAAGTTGTATTGAGCCAACTGAGCATTTCTTACTTTCTTATTGATAGTAAGTCCCGGATCTAACTCAGTGTCCACTTGGAAGCCGGCTTCGTATAACTCCTTCTTCACACGCTCTGCGTATTCGTTAACATTTGGTCCAATCGGCAGAACAATGGCCTGTCGTGGAGATAACCAAAATGGCCTAAACAGACAATCGGTGGTTAATTAATAGGCAAATTGCGTACAATTTTTGTAGACTTAATACCATTTTCCGGAGAAATTTTCAGTAATTATAGCAATGAATCGTTCAATAGATCCGAGAATCGCTCTGTGAATAATGACCGGCCTTTTCTTAGTGCCGTCCTCTGCGCTGTAGTTCAGATTGAATCTCAACGGCAACTGGAAATCCAATTGAATGGTTGCGCATTGAAACGGACGCTTCAGAGCGTCGTTAACCGTGATATCGATTTTTGGTCCATAAAAGGCTCCGTCGCCGGGATTTACGAATATGAACTCTGGGTGCCTTAGGTAACGGAAGCGGTTGCGGAGGAGCCGCAACAAGGTGTGGAGCTAGAGTGGGTTCTTAAAGAGCCCTGCACAGCTGTCGTGATTCAGCTTGCATTTCGGCTTAACAGAGTAAACCTTTTGAAGAAAGTCGAGCGCGCCTTTGATTTCTTCAGATATCTGTTTAAAGGAGTAATTTGTGTGAAATTTATGTGAAACGAAAGGCAAAACCATTTGAATACCTGTTCATTGGTGCAGAAGATGTGCGCGTCGTCCTGTTGGAAGCGTCGCACACGTGTCAGTCCAGTCAAAGCGCCGGACAATTCGTTTCGGTGCAGAACACCGAAGTCAGCCAATCGGAGCGGCAATTCCCGCCACGACCTGACATCGGAGTCGAATATAAGACAATGTCCGGGACAGTTCATCGGCTTCAGTCCGAACTTCTCTTTGTCCACATCGAACAGAAACATATTGTCCGCGTAGTGGTCGCCGTGTCCTGAGATTTGCCATAACTTGAAATTATATATATTCGGAGAAATCACTTCTTGAAAGCCGCGCTTTCGGTATTCGCTCTACAATTTTGGGTTCAATATTAGTGAACGAAAACATTTTAATAATAACAAAATCAATACCCGAATGAAGTCCATAAGAGTGTTGTAAATGTGAGCCCCTCTGGGAGTGAAGAAACACGAGCCGGGGCTGAGTTCGTTGAAGAAGAAGAGTCCCTGTTCTCGACCCAACTTCCTGTGATCACGTTTAGCCGCCTCCTCTTGGATTCGCTGCCATTCGCGCAATTGTTTCGGATCCGGGAATGATATGCCATAAACTCTTTGCAACGACTCCTGGTCTGCCTTTCCCTCCCAATACGATGACGACGACTGCCATTATTGGGTAATTTATCACAAATGTTATTATTAGAGATCAAATACGGTTTGAATATTAAACAAACAAAAGTAGTCATACTTTGGTCACTTTGAAAGCCTTGACATTTCCGGTATGTCTGACATGTGGTCCCCGACAGAGATCGATAAGAGTGCCGCACCGGTAAACAGTGGTTCTCTCCTCTTTGATCTTCTCCTTCAAAATCCTGACTTTGAATTTGTTATACGAAAACATTTCAATCAATTCGTCTTTCGATAGTTCCAGTCTCTCGAAGAGTTGCTTCTCATTGCTTATGGTTTTGACCAAAGCGTCAATTTTTGGGTAATGAGAAGTCGATACTGAGTTCAGCTCTGAAGACTCGGATCCCGGAGCGCAGCCACACATATAGGCGTCATAATAGAAGCCATTCTCGATGGGAGGGCCGTAACAGAGATGACTTCCGTACAGACGCTCCACCGCTTCGCCCATCATATGCGCCGATGAGTGCCAAAACACTTGACGACCTGATCATCGCATG